TGAGAAAGGCTCGTTTATAACGTTGACAAAAGCTTTTCGAGCCAAGAAAGAAAGGATAATGCCCGAGAGAAATAGAAAATATGCCGGACCGCCAAGTTTACACAGCTACCCAATAGATGGCGCCAGTGTGTCCTCTCGTTTAGGGTGCTTACATGCCTGTCTGTCTCAGGGTGAAGACAGCCATTGTTGCCCTGAATGTGCCAGCGCGTGACGGTCTGGCACACTCGGTGCGTGACTTGGGCGGTAAAATGACGTCTATGCATTAGCCAAAGCTACGCGCTCGAGCTAAGTGACACCAGATTGTGCCCGCTTCAAAATGCATAAAACAAAAACGATTGGGCGGAAGAATGGCTGAGTTGTCACCACTCAAGCAAAAGCGCGCGTGTGTATCAAGGCACTCTACTCTCGTTGTAAGAGGTTTCAAAGAACCTAAGAGGTCGCAAGAGTGTGAACGGGCCTTAACACGGATGCGCTATACTACAGGCCGCAAAGTCCAATCACGAGCATGTTAGAAACCTACGCGGTATACTTGCTCCGTCGTACGTATCAGTGACCAAAACGCGTCATGCGGAGGTGCGTTTTTTTGTCTGCTTATCGAACCCTCGCGACGGCTCCGTCTGCTTGCTACTACTGAAGACTACTGAAGGGATTAAATACCGTCTAAAAGCGATGTGGCGAAGAGAACCCGGGATCAAAACCAGTGGCCATTCAGAAAATAAGATGAGTCGGACCGAGTGTTCGACAGAGGAGCGTATGTACGGACCGCGTGCGGAAGAGAGATACGTGTACGGGTACGTTTTACGTACACTAAGATTGGATTGGGTTGTTATGGCTAAGGCGAAACGACGTTATGTCAATGTTGCCTGCTCGCACACCAACTTATTCAAACAGTTGACATGTTTACGAAATATGGCATTTATGTTTTTGAATCTATAAATACCATGTACCTATACTTCATCCATATAAAATAGCGCGCTATCACATCAGAGAACCATATGCGTTAGATTAGTGCTCTTCGTAGTCTGCGTATCGTAATTTCTCTCGCGCACTCTTTCGCAATGCGGATGCAAGCTTTTCTTAGGTAGTGCTCCGTCCGCCAGCCTTTAGGCCATAGTCCGAGTCATAGGGTGAGACGGAGTATAGTTTGCGGTGCCCTGCGCGCCTGTCGGAGCCAAGAGCTGGGAGCAGTCCGTTTCGTCTCGCCGCTGTTGTAGTTCGAGAACGACGTTTTGTTTACGACACGGGCGCGGGCCGCATCTCCAACGCCCACCTGCGATACCTGGCGAAAGATCCATAGGCTCGCGATGTTGAATAGCTGCCTGCTCAAACTACGAGTTGACCAGCCCCGAGAGTTTTCTTTCACAGGTTTCCACGCGACACTGCGCATCTCAATGTATGGACGGTGGACCTCCGGGAACCCGCTGTCACCAAATCGCAGGACGATGATCTGTTCCGAATGCTTGTGCTCATGACACTAACTAATTTGCTGTTACCAGCGAACCAGAGAAATGTCCGTGAAAAGATTAGTTCCGCTGTGAAACCAAATGAATGTGCACTGGAGCTACACTTATCACGGCATTCATAACTTTCGCTGACTATTTTGAAAGGTACACAATCCAGGGTACTAAAGCAGGAGATACATGCAGGGTCAAACGACCACCGCGTCGGTCGCATTAGACGCGCCGGGTGTTTCCCATTGAACGAGCATATACGTATGTCTCGCGCCTGCAGAAACCAGGCGCGAAGACTCAGCTATTTTCGGTAAAATAAAGTTGAAGTTAAAGCTTTATCTGTCAGACCTACGAAGGGAGTCTGGCACGCCCCAGCGGAGGCCTGATGATTGATTGTGACCAGCTGGGATCTTTTGACGAATAACCGAAATCTCGGTTACACGGCGCCTTGGTGTCAATAAGCCCGCGTCAAATTACGGGCACCTCCGTCAAGATTCCAACCCGAAGCGCAAGCTGGGGCCGCAATGGTGCTGACGTCGTTGGACGTCGTGGCAAACTACATTGGCGAAAATTGCGGAGCAGACGGCACTTGCGCTTTGCTCTAAGTTCGCCCGCCGTCGCATGGAGGATCACGTGACCTTTCGGACCACGCGGTTCGATGTGACGTGGACATGACTCTGACGACAGGAGACCAATGTTGCCTGCCACAACCGAAGTTTCGGTTTTGGTATCTGCCGATGTTTAAACTAAGATTACAAAAATAATATTCCACATTTCGCGAATTTGAAGGCGTAGGGCTGGCTGTTCATAATAGTGCTTTGGGAAATGGAATCACATATAAGCCTAAATTTTTGGGGAATATAGCGGAGTTGCCCATTAAAAAAGCGATGCAACGATTTTTGTACTTCCCGCAAATACCGCTTAAGGTGTATCCACACGACGGACCAAATTGCCGTTTTGGTCCGCGGGCCGCGCATCACGTGATCTTACGTCACCGGTTTTCGAGGTCCGCCGGTGGTCCGCGGCCCGCGCTTCTGAGAAATGCCAAGCGACTTTTCTCGCCCGGACCTTGGCGGCGGACCGCGGCGTTTTTAGTATAATTGAAGCGCTAAGTCTGGCAACAAGCTGACTTTTGTTGTATGGATTGGAATCCAAATCCAAAGTCGTTTTCTTTTGTCGCCAACTGTTGAAGACGAAGAAGACGAACCTTTCGTTGTGCGACGATGCAACTTTTTACTTCATCGCGCTCGTGGAGCAATTCCCCGCTCTGCGGGACAATAGTCGTGACGAGTACTCAAATAATCATCTAAAGATGTCCCCATGCCTTTTTCGTTTCCCTTAAGTCCTCCTCGTCCTCAATAGTCAACGCCAGGGCCACCGCGGCCAAACGTTTCTTTCGTTCAACCTCCATCTTGGCTCCTTACAAATAGCCTCAAAGCAGCTCGCTGCATGCGTTTGGCGGAGCTGTGAGGCCGAGGGTTAGACCGGCCCGTTCGCTCTGTCGTCTGCTCTTTTGGTCCGCCGTGTGGATGCTCATAGCAGCCGGGCGGCCCGCGGGCCGCGCATCACGTGATCAATTGGTCCGCGGCCCGGTCCGTCGTGTGGATACACCTTTAGAAGGGGCTTCTGTCGTTAATGGCCTTTCAAACACCCGTTCGTTTTTCACCACACGCAATCAAAGTCGCAGAAAAAAATTAAAGAAAAACGAGCAGCGTTAACCCCCTCAACTCGCAGCCAAAACAAGCGGCCACGTGATCTGGAGCCGATTATATGCCACCAATGTTCATATAGCAACGCGCTCAGGTTGGCAAGGCACAGACACCCGCTGAGTTCTAGAAGAAGAAGAATAATATAGATGGTGCTATGGAGAATTTGGTAGCCTTGAAATGGCGCCGGCTAATTCCAGTTCTGAGTTCTATATCAGTTCTGAATTCCGGTTCTGAGTTCCAGTTTCTGAATTCCAGTTCTGAGTCCTAGACATTTTTATGTTTCGGCTATTGTCGTCATTCCAGCGATTGGACACTTGCCACTAGCCAAATGCTTCTCGAGCTATCCATTATCTCGAACCCAAATCGAGTGCCCACGCAATGCTCGGGTCCAATCTATGAGCCCAGCTACGTCATCGAGTTTTGCGAAGAAAAGATTGAATGAAAACGCTCGCTTTTGTCCTTGAAATTACACCGTAACAAAGGAGTTTCTTGGCCAGTGGCATAGCCTGCGAGTATCCTTAGGTTGGTGGGAATAAATAGGCTCGGTGTAAACAGTCGATACAAGGAAATGTTGATCGTTGTTACCAGTGGCCATAACCGACTTGTTATGCCTGACTCACTTGGTCCGATTCTGCTTGCGATTTTCAGTATCAACGACGACCATCTCAGCTGCGGTTTTAGTTTCTGCGGCCCGAGCGACATCGCGAGTGAAAATAGCGAGCAGAATCTCATTATGCGAATTAGGCTTTATCGTCCATTCTGCGGCGTCCACGCGGAATGAACTGCCGCTTGTCACATTATTCACGCGAAGTTTCGCGGTGTAACGAGCCCCGTTAATTTTGCCGAGGCCCCTAAAGTAATCAGATTTTGCCCAGGAAGACGTAGAATCAACAATTCCAACGCAAAAAAAGGGCACGGGGATTCACACCGACGCCGACAACATCGCATTCCAACGGTCTGTTTACGGGCGACGGCGAGCTTCCTGCCCACACTCCATCGCGTATGGGCGGCGCCGGTGGCACCCGCTAGGGGCGCTCCAGTTTATTAGTAAACATAAGTTGGTCGAAGACAAGGACAAAATGAGTGCAGCGAGGGGTATTCGGCTCCTCCTTCTGTGCTTGACTTCGGGCACTGCAACTTGGTTTTAAATAGGAAAAGGAGGCTATTTACATTTTTCAATTACTCTAGGTGGTTTTGACTGGACACACGTCATCGCTACTTGGTAATGACGTCACAACTTTTTGATTGGTAGACACGTTCCGAACAGACTATATCGCCTTCAAGTTATTAAAGTTGCCTACTCTATGAAACGCATTTATGCGTTCAAATATTGATACAGAATATTGGAACATACCTAAGCCTCGCGCTTATTTCTTTTTTATTCAGTCTAAAAACCTTGCTCTTGTTTATCGCTTCAATAATATTTTTTTAGGAAACTGGTTTGTCTTATCTCATTTATTGCGCTAAATTTGAAAATTATTATGTAGTGATTTTTGCTCAACGTAAAGAATTATTAGTGCTTTTTATTGGGTTAATTTTCTCAGCGAGTGAAGTATTGAATCATACATGTATAATTGCTAGTGTATAGTTGTTGTTTTTTTTTTCGATCACCACTGATGTGAGCTTCTGTACGTGAAGCTGGACCAGCTGCTTTCCCCAAACCCTTGTATGCTGAAAATATCATTATAATTAACTACATCATCTAATGCTGGCATCAGGAAGCATCCAAATGCCACAACTCAGTTTTGTGTGGACTCTCAGCGCTCCTACAACTCATGAACAATCACGACGTGGCTGTTCATGATGAACGATCACAACAATCAACAATCACTATACGCACCTCTCTCGTGGCCTGGAGTCGCCTGTTTTCCTGCTTCCAGGACAGGGCAGTGAAGTCTTCGAAGAAGCCGCCATCGGATTCCTGCACCCTGCGAAGCAAGCCACAGAATTCATCAGAGCCACCGCAGAAAAACATGCCCCGTCGTGCAGCGACTTTTTATTTGTGTTTTTATAAGAAAACATTTTTTAAGAGTTGAACGATTCCCGAAGTTAGCTACCAAGTTGTATCTGCTTCGTACAAAAACTATGTTTTGTTATCGTTAACTGCGTTTTTGCATCGTGACAAAAAAAAAAAAAAGAAAATACGGCAGCAGCGCGTTTCTGTAAAAAAAATACCCGCTGTTCCATTCCTAATTCTAGACAACTTTTGAACACGGAGAACGAGACTGCCCTTTAAAGCCGACAGAAAGTTATGAATTCAAGAAAGCAGCCCTACGCCGTTACAAGTATATATACACCTATATATTTCGGAAGGATGGCTTCAACATAAAAGACAATATTACCGACGAGGTAGTTCGAACATTTAAATTGGTGTTGTTCTCATTTCATGCTCTCTTCGTGTCAATAAAACGTCGCTCAGGTCCTGCCTAAAACCTGCATCGTCATACCAGTCCAAGCTCCAAATCATGTTGCTGCTTGTTACGAACACAAAGAGTTCCCCTTTCCTAAGGACCTGCAGCTTCAGTGTGCAGGTACTTCGTTATTCGAATGTGTCATTCGGTTCCCGCCATTGCGGCCATTTCTGAGTGATATTGCTTTTCTTTTTAGAAACTTTCGCTAATATCTTTTTACGGGAATTCTGTTTACGTGCGTCAAATAACGCATTTAATGTGCGCGTGCATACGTATTCTACTGCTGAGAACGGCAAAGGGTACGGATAGATATACGGTCTATCCGTGCGACATGACAACTGGATGTTTCGAAATAGTGTTAGACGATCGAGCGAACATCGTTCCTAATGGCCCTACTTAAATTCCCAGCAAGGATATAACGGGAACATAGTGGAAATGTTCAATCTCTTCTTGAACGATTTTGTATTCTTCAGAGCTTGAAATGTTGGAAAACTGGCATAAGAAAAAAAAAAAAGAAAAAAAGAAGGCACATCTCCCTCTAGGCGAGTCGTTATGTACCGGAAGTCGCGGCAAACCAAAAGCTGCAATTTCTTTTTTAGCCAAAATTTGTTGTCTAGCGATGTCATGGAACATCGCGCGCACGTAGGAATGTCTACGGACCGACACTGTTTACGGAGGAGAACTCTACCGCAGCGCAGTGACGTCAAAGCCGAGCAGACAGGGAAACGCGCCCTCGAACCGGTGCTTTCCCTTTTTTCTCAGTCCGTCGTCTGCTTCGAAAAAGAAAAAAAGAAGAAAAAAAAAAAAGAAATTTAAAGAAGTTCTACGCCCAAGTACCCGTATAATAATCACTGTTGCTTCCCAGCGAAACGAAAGCACTATTCTGCGTTTTATTAAAGGTTTAAAAAAAAAAAAAAAAACACGTTACGTTACAAGCCGAAACCGTAGCCAACAATATTGCTTACTTTATGAGTCGCAGCCAGTGATATCGCGGCTCTAGCCGATAAGAACGATGAAGGACGAATCGCGAAGCAAGAAGCCCGAACATCATACACGAAATCAACTCTCCGACATAGCGCCACTATAAGGTGGCGCTAATGACGGCCTTGCGCACAAGCAGACTTGTCTGTAAACAGTGCATTGGTGTACGCGGAACGCAAGTTCGTCTGCTTCTTTTCGCAGGGGTTCTGGTGACGTCAGAGCAGTGAACTCTGATTGGTTCTGGATGAAGGATAGTGGGTAGACCTCAAGGCAGCTTGCTTTGAGGCCTACTCACTATCCTCCAACCAGAACCAATCAGAGCTCGGCATTCTGACGTCACCACAACCCCTGCAAAAGAAGCAGACGAACATGAGCTCCGCATAGAAGCCTTGTCTTACGGCCACCAGTCACGCGTGAACTTTGGCAAATCAGACAGCCTCGCTGTAGCATTATCGTCACATATATACATACATATCTCTCTCTATATATATATATATATATATTAGGAAAAGGAACGACATGTTGAACAATATCGGAAGAACTGGGGTCTCATCCCCTAGCCGCCAAAATACAATTCCGATATAAGCAAAGGACTACCCAGACCCATTTGGTCTGGGTAGTCCTTTGTCTCCTGCCCGAGGTACATAGCTTGGCTGCTCTCAATATAGAAACGTTCCAGTGCGGGAGTACAGAGCGTGATACGAATAAAACTAGATTTCATCATACCTAGAAAACCGAGACGCGGAAAAAAAGTTGCATCGCGCGATATAGACCGTATACCGCGGTACGACTGAAACCGAAACCATCGCATCCGGGCGAAAGCAGACGACGAAAAAGCCAACCGCTACAATCCAAAACGAAGCCACGAAAGAAGGCGTACCGTAACACGAGCCGTAGATCGAGCCAAATGGCGAGTCAGATCAGGTTGACTGTTTTCGTGGATCAAATCCCCCACCCCCCTCAGCACAGCAACAAAGAGATTGACAAAAGAAGAAGAAAGAAAACACGAGAATAAAGCTCTTCTACTGTGACCTAGTTTCGATTCATACGACAGCGTTAGCAAACAACAGGGTCCATTCAGAGCAGACGACCGCTAATGAAACATCAACAGTCGTCTGTTTTCAATGGCTTTCGTTGTTGGCTAATGGAATAACGATGACAGCGGAACTTTAATTAGCGTCTCTTTATTTTTTTTTTTTTGGTATTAACTTCCAGGCTAGTCTATTTTACTCAAACAAAAAGGTGGAGAAAACAGACTTTCAAAATCGTCTTTTGGTTCGAAAAAAGAACGCATCAAAATGCACTTAACGTATATCTCTTCTTTTTTTTTTCTTCGGTATTTTGAAACAAAATGAGCACTTGCTTCTCTTCTCAAGGATGTCCCTCGGTCGGCTTGCTTACATTAAGAATGATTGATCAACTTGGTGGCCTGTGCTCGGAGACACGCTTGTTCCCGTTCTTTTTTTGTCGTGAACGTCTTTTCTGACGGAAGGAATACACGTTCTTTAGCCGCTTCAAAACGATTTAGAACTCTCCTTTGCATCCACAACTTAGAAAAAAAAATATTGCGGTTGTCATTGTTTGATTGCGGGAAAATTTTGATAGTCCCTGATTCAACTCAAACTTCGTTCAATGCATTCATAAAAACGACTGAACTATTCGCCCAAAAAATATTTCACAATACTTTTGTTTTTCTTTTTTCGCGAAGTCATTGAATTCTTTAATTTGGTTTGAGAGCCTGAGAGGCTACACTGGCAACAGTAAAAACGTGACGACAAATGTAATAGGGTGCAGTTCAGCCAACGTTATTATATTAGCTCAGTTACGAAACTGCCCATAGACGCCGTACCAAGGACAGCCTATAGAAGAGATGAAACTGAACTCTGAAGACGTGTTTTAAAAAATGAGTTTCGCGAGGTGCGCAGTTAACTAACAGCCAAAAGTCGATTGGCCAAAAGGAAGCATTACAAGACAAAATTTAGCCAGTCGGTAAAAAATTCAACGGAAACCTGGAATCTTGTCAATCAGGTAAGGAAGGAAGAAAAAAAAATAATATTGATAATACAATCAAGAAGCATTTCCCCCATGCAGATGACTGCACTATGTTAGGAGGCTCTTTTAGTAGTTCTTTTATCAATGGGGTTAAAGAATTAATAGAGAAAATTATGCCAGTAGAAACAAAAACATACGCTGCCAAGTTCCGTAACAAAAACTCTGCATGCTTGCCTCTAATGTTTGAGGATGATCTTGTAACCTTCGTAAATTCTATGTCCATAACAAAGTCACCAGGTATAGACAAGATACGTGTGCGAGATTTACGTTACAATACAGATAATCTAAAACAAGTATTAAAATAATCAACGGTTTCCTTACTGCAGGTAAAATTCCTAAATAGCTAAATGTTGCAGTAATTAGGCTTCTTTACAAAGGCGGCAATAAAAGGATTTCGGGAATTACCAATCACGGAACAATGGGTTCAGATAAACATGAATGCCTTCTGTGAAAAATTTTCTCTTATTACTGATCCGTAGCATGGTTTTCGGAAAAATAAAAGCACAACAGCACTTTTGGAGATTTTTCAACTGCATGAACGATACACTAGATAACAATAAAATTGCTCTTGCCTTATTTCTAGATTTATTGAAAGCTTTATATACCATCGATGATACGTTACTTTTAGAAAAAAAACTTTAAAAAAAGAATGGCCTTTAAAAGACTATTTCATAATTTTTTTTTTTTTTTCATGACTACCTCACAGACAGATTTCAAGTGGTGAAAACAGAAAATTGTGTTAGTGGTAAAACTCGGGTTCAGTGCGGTGTACCCCAAGAGAGCACTTTGGGCCCGTTGCTGTTTAACATTTACATAAATGAGTTAAGTCTTTTACCGAGTCTAGAATCCTCTTATATGCAGACGATACAGTTCTACTATTACCATATGACATATACGAAAACGCAATTCAAATATTTCAAAAGGACGTGGACATGTTATTGCACTGGTTTTAGGACAATATTATTTCAGTAAATAACAACAACAAAAAAACTTATGTGATTCCGTAATCCCCATGAACAGGTGAAGCTTACGGTAGGCATTTATTTAAATTCGGGGCATGGCAACTCTTGCAAAAAGTATAGCCCTTCCATACGAACAGTTTGTAAAGTACTTAGGCATATTTTTGGACGAACATATTTTATGGAACCATCATATAGAATTTATTTTAAAAAAGGCTTCGCGAAGTATCAGCGTATCTTTACCGGTTAAAGAGCGTTTGTGGTATAAATGTTAGAAAAATGTTTTTCTGGTCCTAGGAGAGTCGAGCTTACGATACGGTATTACTGGTTTTGGTCAATGCTCAGGAAATAAAAAGTTGGGTATAGATAGATTGTTCAAACAGATTGCGAGTAACCTTGCGTACGACACCACATATGATAACCTAGTAATAGATATGAAAATGAATGAACTAAATATACAGTATTTTTAAACTGTATGAATACGTATCACTAACACGGCATTACTACGATAAGAGCTTGAAATTT